ACTCGGGCGGGACCGGCCCGCGGGAATCACCGATCCCGGGATAACGGGCTGTGGGTCCCCCGGGACACCGGGATAACGGGCTGTGGGTCCCTCGGGAGGGACACCGGGATAACGGGCTGTGGGTACCCCGGGAGGGACACCCGGATAACGGGCTGTGGGTCCTCCGGGACACCGGGCTGTGGGTCCCCCGGGGCACCGGGACCCCGGGCTGTGGGACCCCCGGGACACCGGGACACCGGGCTGTGGGTGCCTCGGGACACCAGGATCACCAGGATAACGGGCTGTGGGTCCTCTGGGACACCGGGACACTGGGCTGTGGGACCCCCGGGACACCAGGATCACCCGGATAATGGGCTATGGGTCCCCCGGGACACCGGGACCCCGGGCTGTGGGTCCCCCGGGACACCGGGATAACGGGCTGTGGGACACCGGGATACCGGGACCCCGGGCTGTGGGACCATTGGGACACCGGGACCCCGGGCTGTGGGACCATCGGCGCCGCCCTGTGTGGGGACTCTGGGCAGAGGAGGTGTCACCCCAAACTCGTGTTCCTCTCCCGTATCAGTGACCCCAAAACTCTGCGGCTGCTTTGGGGCAGGACCGGCCCGTTTCTATCCCGGGCTCGGTTTTGGCTCCCGGTGTCTCCCCCACATCCTTACAGCTTTATCATGGCCAGGATTTCCCAGACCCACACCCCTCACCCTGGCTCTGGCACCATGGAGTCCCAGTTAATTGTTCCCTGGCTGCTCCAATGGGATCAATCCCGTAAAAACAGAGGCTGATTCCCAAACCCCAGCAAATTGTCTTGTCTATGGGTTTTTTATGGGATCCTGTTGGCCTCCCACATGGGAAATGTGTGTCTAGAGGGGCTTCTTCCCATCAGTTTCCTCTAAATGTCACCACAGTCCCAAGCCCAGTGCGGGATTCTGAGATCCTGTGTCAGTATCCTAGCAAACAATGGCAATTCCGGGTTTCTCAGTCAATATTACAGCAAACCCACCTGGAATCTTAAGTTCCTCCATCAACAGCCCATCGAACCCATCTGAAATCCCGAGTTCCTCTGTCAGCATCCTTAGAACCCCAAGGTCCTCCATCAGTATCCCACCTAGCCCTGCTGGGGTCCCGAGTTCCTCCCCAGGGGAAGGGCTGGACCCCCATTCTGACCCCACATCTTCCCTCCACTGGTTCCTGTTCCCGGCTTCCCTGCAGCTCCCCCATCAGATCCCTTTACTGGGGGAGAAGGGATGTGCTGCCAGTGGCCCGTGTTGGGAGGAGAGGGGCTCTGCTTTTCCCTCACCTTGGGATCTCCACACAAAATCCAGGGGCCCATCCCGTTGGTCAGCAGGAGCTGCTGGTGCTGCCAGGTTTTTACGGATAATTGTTTATGGATAACTCTTGGTTTGTGGGTTTTGGTCTCTCTGAGCACCTTCCCTGCAGCACCTCCCAGCGCCTGGCACTGCCTGGATCCGCTGGAGGTTGGATTGTCCCTCTTTAATCGCTTCCAAATGGGCTCTGTGTGGACACTGGGAGATAAAATCGGGTTGTTTGACCCACTGCAGGTCACTCTGTGCTCCAGGCTGGGACCAGCATGAGGCTGGGCAGGCTCTGGCCACTGGGATGTGCCCAGAGGGAGCAGCAGCTCCTCAGGACAGGGATATCCAGAGCTCCACTCACACCTGGAACTGCCTTTCCCTCCTGGAATGGTTTTCCTCCCCAGAAACACTAAAAAAGTGACTTTTACTCTTTATTACCCAAATCTCCTCACCATGCCCTCCCCCCTCCGCCTTCCAAGGAACTGAAATTTGTGGATTTTCTGAATGGTCTGATAAATCCCCATTCAAAAAAAAAAAAAAAATAAAGGAAGGAAAGGGCTTTTCCGTGTCCTTTATCCCATGTCCTGCCTCCACTGTCTTGGTTTGAGGTGGGACCAGTCCCAGGTCACTCCTGGTCATTCCAGGGTCACTCCCAGGGCAGAATTCCTTGGTGTGAGTTCAGGTTAAAGGGGAATACCTGGATTTTAAACCACAGATTTAAAGAGCTAAGGAATGGGAACACCTGGGTTTACCTTTATGTTTAAGAGCTCTGGATGGGGAAGAACTGGATGTAAATTTGAAAGGGTAAGGATGGGGAATATCTTGAGTTTAAAATTAGATTAAAGCAATAAGGATGAGGAATATATTGAATTAAATTTGCATTGAAGAGCTCTGGATGGTGAATATATGGATTAAATTTAGAGTGAAAGAGTTAAAACCCAGAAATATCTTGGTTAAAATTTAAGGCTAAATAGATCAGGGTGATGAATACCTCGACTGAAATTTAAAGAGATCAGGGTGGGGAACACCTGGATCAAAGTTGGGATCTCAGTGACAAGCGTGGGGAACAGCTGAGTTTCTGTTGGGATTTAAAGGAATCAGCCTCTGGAATCCTTCCAGAGCTGCCATTGACCCCAGGCACTTTTGGGTGGTTTGATCAGGTGGGTCCCAGTCTGGGGGGATCGGCTTGGTGGGGGAGGATTCCACCCACAGCAGGTCTGGAGAGGGAATGTTGGGAGGAGGGAGAGCAGAGCGTGCTGCACGTTGTCTTTCACATTCCTCCCATCTGGATCCACTTCCTTCCTTCCCGCCAGGACCCCTCTCCCCACCCCCAGATCCCTTCCCAGCCCCAGCTGCTGCTCTGAGGAGCTCTGGGATGGGCTCAGGAGCAGCTCCGGGGGAAACGGGACATTGTCCACATGCAGCGGGCCTTGAAACTCTCTGTGCCCTGATAATCTGTGTTAATTAATCCTTGTGCCTTGATAATCTGTATTAATTAATCCCTGAGCCCTGATAATCTGTGTCAATTAATCCCTGTGCCCTGATAATCTGTGTTAATTAATCCCTGTGCCCTGATAATCTGTGTCAGTTAATCCCTGTGCCCTGATGATCTGTGTTAATTAATCCCTGTGCCCTGATAATCTGTGTCAATTAATCCCTGTGCCCTGATAATCTGTATCAATTAATCCCTGTGCCTTGATAATCTGTGTCAATTAATCCCTGTGCCCTGATAATCTGTGTCAGTTAATCTCTGTGCCCTGATAATCTGTATTAATTAATCCCTGTGCCCTGATAATGTGTGTCAATTAATCCCTGTGCCCTGATAATCTGTGTCAATTAATCTCTTTGCCCTGATAATCTGTGTTAATTAATCCCTGCACTCTGATAATCTGTGTTAATTACTCCCTGTGCCCTGATAATCTGTGTTAATTAATCCCCGTGCCTTGATAATCCATGTCAGTGATTCACTTTTCCCCAGATAACCCATATCATTATAGTGCCCTGATAATTTGGATCAGTTAATCAATTTGTCCTGAGAATATGCTGGAATTCATCATTTTCCCAGATAATTTGTATTTATTAGTAATTTGTGCCGACATAATCTTCACTAAGTCTCCATTTACTCCATGTGCAGTAATTCTCCATTTTTCCTGGACAATCTGCATTAGTTCATCATTTTTGCCCAATCTGTATTTATGGTTTTATTCAGATCATCTGGATTAATTAATAATCTTTGCTCCCATCATCTGTATTATTATTAATCTGTTTTTTCCCCAATAATATGCTCTAGTCCCCATTTTTCCCACATGATTTGCCCTAATCCCCATTTTTTTCTAGATAACCCCTGTTCTTCCCAGACAACCTGCCCTAATCCCCATTTTCCCTTGACAACCTGCCCTAGTCCCATCCCTTCCCATTCCAGTGTTCCTGTCCCACAGCCGTGTCCCTGTCCTGCTGTCTCTGTCCCCTTGTCCCTGTCCCACATTGGTGTCCCTGTCCCACTGTAGTGTACCTGTCCCACAGCTGTGTCCTTGTCCCTGTCCCACAGCCGTGTCCCTGTCCCACAGTGGTGTCCCTGTCCCACAGCCGTGTCCCTGTCCCACTGTCTCTGTCCCACTGTCCCTGTCCCACAGTGGTGCCTGTCCCACAGTGGTGCCCCTGTCCCACTGTAGTGTACCTGTTCCGCTGTCCCTGTCCCACAGTGGTGTCCCTGTCCCACAGTGGTGTCTCTGTCTCACTGTCCCTGTCCCACAGCTGTGTCCTTGTCCCTGTCCCACAGCCGTGTCCCTGTCCCACAGTGGTGTCCCTGTCCCACAGTGGTGTCCCTGTCTCACTGTCTCTGTCCCAGAGCGGTGTCCCTGTCCCGGTGTCCCTGTCCCAGTGTCCCTGTCCCGGTGTCCCTGTCCCACAGCGGTGTCCCTGTCCCACAGCGGTGTCCCTGTCCCACAGCGGTGTCCCTGTCCCACAGTGGTGTCCCTGTCCCACTGTCTCTGTCCCACTGTCCCTGTCCCACAGTGGTGTCCCTATCCCGCTGTCCCTGTCCCACAGTGGTGTCCCTATCCCGCTGTCCCTGTCCCACTGTCCCACAGCGGTGTCCCTGTCCCACAGCGCTGTCCTTGTCCCCTTGTCCCTGTCCCACAGTGGTGTCCCTGTCCCACAGTGCTGTCCCTGTCCCACAGTGGTGTCCCTGTCCTACTGTCCCTGTCCCACAATGGTGTCCCTGTCCCACAGCACTGTCGTTGTCCCCTTGTCCCTGTCCCACAGCGGTGTCCCTGTCCCACAGTGCTGTCCCTGTCCCACAGTGCTGTCCCTGTCCTACAGTGCTGTCCCTGTCCCACAGCGGTGTCCCTGTCCCCTTGTCCCTGTCCCACAGCCATGTCCCCCTGTCCCACAGCAGTGTCCCTGTCCCACAGCCATGTCCCCCTGTCCCCGCAGGCCCGGCACCATGCGCTTCCCGCGGCTCCTGCTGTGCCTGGCTGTGTGGGCGCTGTGCGGCTCCGCGAAGCCCACGGAGCGCAAGGAGCGGGTGGTGCGGGAGGCTCCGCTCAGCGCCCGCGAGCACGACGACGCCCAGAGCTTCGACTACGACCACGACGCCTTCCTGGGCGCCGACGAGGCCAAGAGCTTCGACCAGCTCACACCAGAGGAGAGCAAGGAGCGCCTGGGGTAAGGACAGCCCCCCAACCCTTCCCGGAGTGGGAACGCAGTGACCACCCCCAGTCCAGCCCAGGAATTCACTGCCCAGCACCAGGCATTCCCCAAAAAGTCACCCGGAGCCATTTCCAGTGCCAGACATTCCCCAGAACTCCAGAGCAGACAGGGGGGGCTGTGCTGTGCTGTGCTGGCTCCGTGTTCTCTGGGTGCCACTGCAGCCCCTGTGTTTCCCACTGGTATTTCTCGGTTGGAAGGAGTTGGTTGGGAGTTGGGAAAAGGGAGCCTGCATGGAGATTCCCCCTCCAGTGTCTGCTGGGACCCCAGGATGCTCTGTGCATCCCCTGGGATCCGGCTGTGCCTCCCTTGGGATTGGTGTCTTCCCTGGGATCCGGCTGTGCCTCCCCTGGGATCTGGCTGTGACTCCCCTGGGATCTGTGTTTCCCTGGGATCTGTGTTTCCCCTGGGATCCGTGTTTCCCCTGAGATCAGTGTCTCCATTGGGATCCGTGTTTCCCTGGGATCCGTGTTTCCCCCAGATCCGTGTCTCCCCCGGATCCGTGTTTCCCCTGGGATCCGTGTTTCCCTGGGATCCGTGTCTCCCCCGGATCCGTGTTTCCCCCGGGATCCGTGTTTCCCCCGGGATCCGTGTTTCCCTGGGATCCGTGTTTCCCCTGGGATCCGGCTGTGCCTCCCCTGGGATCCGTGTTCCCTGGGATCCGTGTTCCCTGGGATCCGTGTTTCCCTGGGATCCGTGTTTCCCTGGGATCCGTGTTTCCCCTGGGATCCGTGTTTCCCTGGGATCCGTGTTTTCCTGGGATCCGTGTTTCCCTGGGATCCGTGTCTCCATTGGGATCTGTGTTTCCCTGGGATCCGTGTTTCCCTGGGATCTGTGTTTTCCCTGGGATCCGTGTCTCCCCCGGGATCCGTGTCTCCCCCGGGATCCGTGTTTCCCCCGGATCCGTGTCTCCCCTGGGATCCGTGTTTCCCCCGGGATCCGTGTCTCCCTGGGATCCGTGTTTCCCCCGGGATCTGTGTTCCCCCGGGATCTGTGTTCCCCCGGGATCCGTGTTCCCTCGGGATCCGTGTCTCCCCCGGGATCCGTGTCTCCCCCGGGATCCGTGTCTCCCTGGGATCCGTGTCTCCCTGGGATCCGTGTTTCCCCGGGATCTGTGTTTCCCCGGGATCCTTGTCTCCCCCGGATCCGTGTTTCCCTGGGATCCGTGTTTCCCTGGGATCTCGTGTTTCCCTGGGATCCGTGTTTCCCCCGGGATCCGTGTTTCCCTGGGATCCGTGTTTCCCTGGGATCCGTGTTTCCCTGGGATCCGTGTTTCCCGGGATCCGTGTCTCGCCCGGATCCGTGTTCCCCGGCCTGCGCTGGGATTGTTCCCGGGAGCAGTGTGGGGCCGGCTGCCCCCGCAGCAGCTGCTGCCGCAGTTGTTCAGGGGCTCCAGGAGGCTCCAACCTGGGAACTGCAGGCTCCAGCAGGGCCGGGGGGACGGAGGCTCCCGGGGGAGCTGGGGACCCTTCTCAGGGTGCTGTGCTCCAGTCACCTTCCAGCTGGTGCCTTGGGCTGGGTTTTCATGGAATGGCTGGGTGGGAAGGGACCCCCGAACCCCCCAGTGCCCCCCTTCCCACCCTTCCAGAGAGGAATTCCTTCCCAATATCCCACCTGAATCTCCTTTCTTTAGTCAGACTCGATTTTTTCAGCCAAGAATCCCAACCTTGCTGCTGCTGGAGCAGCACCTACCCACGGCCCACGGTGAATTTTGGGCTGTTTTTTGGGAACGGTGCTCCCTGATGGGAAAGAAAAGCTCAGCCACGTGGGTGCTGGGGAAACTTCCCCCAGACCCAGCGGGATGTGCAGGGCAGGGGTGCCAGGTTCCATCCCTGGGGATCATCCAGACCCCAGTGGCAAGGGGGTGCTGGCCTCTCCCCCAGCACCTCCCGGACCCGAGGGAATTTCCTCCCTCCGGGGACAGTTTAAACCGGAAAACCCCTTGATCCCTTGGATCTAGGCCCTGGTGGCTCCATGAGCTCCACAACGCAGGATCCAGGAGGCTTTTTGAGTCCTGGCAGAATCAGAGCGAATGTCTCGATGCCCCTGGAGCAGCGTCAGACTCGGAGGGAAGCTGGGCCCCGGCCTCCCCTGGCCTCTGTCCCGACGATCGCAGGGCTCCGATGCCAGGGCTCCGATGCCAGGGCTCCGATGCCAGGGCTCAGTCACGATGCCAGGGCTCAGTCACGGCTCAATGCCATTGTTGTGCTGAGTTGTGGCCGGAACGCCGGCCGGGCCATGGCAGATTTGACGCGCTCCACACAGCACAGCCCCGCTTTTATCCGCAGGGGCCGAGCCTTCCCGAGCTGGAACCGCTGCCATGAACTCCTCTGATTCTATGTGCTCCGATTCTGGCAGCTCCGGGCTTTAGCGGGGCTAAGGGAAGGGTCTGTGGTTGTGCCAGAGCTCCGGCTCGGGGCTCTCCCAGCGCCTGCGCTCCCTCCCCGCGCTCGGGGAGCCGCGGGCGCCGTGCCCGGGAGCAGGGAACTGGCAGCAGCCCCTTGGAGCCGAGAACGGCGGCAGCTGCCCGCCCTTCCCCAACATCTGCTGCCCTCCCCTGCAGCGGGGCAGAGCGGGGGCTTTGGGAAAACGGGAGGGTTTGGTGGCTCCTGCCCTGGGAAAGCAGCCGCGAGCAGCTGGTGCCGGCCCAGGGTGGGGAGGAGGTTTGGGAGCTTCCTGAGTGCCCGGCGCTGGGCTGGACAGGGTTTGGCTTCCCTGGGAAGCTCTTCCCTAATTAACCCCTTAGAGACTGCCCTGGAAAAGCCTGGATGCCTTGGCCATTAACCCCTGCCAGCTCTGGTCCTCCATTCCAGGGATTTTCCTTAAAAAATCCCTTTGCTGGTGATGTACCTTCTTGGGAGAGGGAAACAATGGGGTTTTTTCCTTGAAATAGGAAGGATTTGACCGATTTATTCGTGGTTTATATATTTTCATGGGCAAATGTTTAATATTCACGTGATACTTTACATTATGCAGAATTTATAGTATTGATAGACTTGTTATATATTTATATGAAAAATTCTGAATATTTAAGTGACATTTTGCATATTTCTGTGTTTGATCAGGAATATTGAAGGGACACTTTGCACATTGATACATAAAGTTCTGAAATGTTTCTTTTATATTTTAAAAATACTTCTCTCTATAAAATCACTCAGGTCTCCAAGCCCTGCCCACTGCCCCCGCTCCAGCATCTCACTGTCAGAACTAAATTCCAAATTTTTCCTGTTTTTCTTCCTGTCTCTCTCCAGCTTCTCATTGCCAGGAACATCCTTTGTGCCACAGAGGAATTCCTGATTTTCCTAGACCAAGGCAGTTCTGAAACACAGAAACCTGGCTCTGAGCACAGGTGGCTTCAGTGTCCGGGTTTCCCTTTGCATCAATATTTTTAGAATTAATAGCCCTAGTGATCTAAAATTTAAAAATTCCATGTTTTCCACCTGTCTTCTAAAATTCCTGAAATACCTGGGCTGGAGCTCAGGATTCCTCGACTGCTTTCCGTTAAACCTTCAGGTTAAAGGGAAAAAGCCAGGATCCCGCTCCACCAGACAAAAGGTTTCGGGACCGTTATCCCTGATTTTCATCCCAGGAGCCCCAAACTTTCCCGGCGCAGAGCGGCGTGGATCAAACAGCCCCCACCCCCCGGCTCCATCTGCCCCTGGATCCTGCATTCCTGCCGGCCTTTCCTGCAGCTGCTGCTAAAAATAACGGAGGCACGCGGCGCTGGGGCCGCGGCTCCGGTTGCTCCCCGGGCAGCGGGTGGGACCGGCCCGGCCCCGCGCGGCTCCGCTTCCCCGGCACGGCCAAACGTCCCCAGCAGAAATGTGTGGCCGTGCTCCGCACCCGGCGCCGTCGGGGTGGGAGGACACGCAGGTGGAGCTTTCCTAAGATTTAACAGCGAAGATTTTTCCCCTAAAATTCACAATTCCTGAAGGAACCAAAACCTGAGTGGTTCAAGAGTGGCCAAGCTCTTGATTTCCATGTCTGATCCGGTGTTTTCTGTGTCCGAGAGAGTTTTGGCAGCTGACCTCGCTTTTTTCCAAATGTTTCCGAATGTTTTGATAACCCTAATGTTCGTTTTAAAGATAAACTCTTCAAATGGTTGAATTGGCAAATTCCAGAGCCACCTCAACTTTCTCCTGGCGTCACCAGGAGAGGCAGAGCTGATATTCCCATTTTTAATACAAATATGGGTCCATGCTCATCACCTGATGAGCACCGGCTTGGTCCGAGGATGCATGGATGGGTATTTCCCACGGGCTTCAAAGGAAGTTTTTTCCCCTAAAACCCTTAATTTCTGAAGAAACCAAAACCCGAGTGGTCCAGAAGTGGCTGAGCCAATGATTTTCATGTCTGAGCCAAAGTTTTGGCAGCTGAACCACATGTTGGTTTTAAGGATAAACTCTCCAAATGGTTGAACTCCCAAATTCTATGATGACCTCGACTTGCCCCCTCTGCCCCTTCCATTCCCTCCCTGCTTTTTAACTTTTGCTGGGTTTCTCTGTGTTTCCTACAGGAAGATTGTCGGGAAGATAGATGAGGATGGAGATGGGTTTGTGACAGTGGAGGAGCTCAAGGCCTGGATCAAGTTTGCCCAAAAGCGCTGGATTTACGAGGATGTGGAGCGCCAGTGGAAGGGCCATGACCTCAACGAGGACGGGCTTGTTTCCTGGGAGGAGTATAAAAATGCCACCTATGGATATATCCTGGGTAGGTCCTGGCTCTTGGGATGAGCCTTTCTTGGAGCCAGCAGCTGGGACGTCCTGCTCTGCTTTGGGTCCCCGAGGCGGGTCAGGGCGGGCTCGTGGCACGGCGGTCAGTGGGTGGTCACTCTGGGCTTGCGGGGTGACGGTCAGCGGGATGGACACGGCTCCGGATGGGGCTGTGGTGGGGGGAGTTTGGGGCCTGGATCAAGGAGGCCAGAGGGAGTCCATGGCTGAGAGTGGGGAGTGTGGCTGGCGTTGGGCTGAGCCGAGATGGATTTGTGCCCTGGGACAAGCGCAGGAGTGTGATGTAGGACATGGCCTTGGTATACGTGGGGCCAGCTGGAGGAAATGTCCCTTTAATGTTACACTCTAAAATCTCCACAACTCTCCAAACTGACCTCCTGGTGGCATTAACAAAGAGAAATCCAAGGAAAAGAACCCAAAATATGTGGAACTCTCCCCATGGGGACATTTACACACCCCACGTCCCTCTTTTCCCCTCCGCAGTCACACTTGGGCATTATTAATGTCCGTGGTGACAAATGCAGCTCTGGGCTGAATCCAGGTGATTTGGGGTTCAGTGGCATGTGGGAATGGGGGTTTCCTGTCCTCTGGCATTCCTGGCTTGTGGGGGAATTTGGGACCTGCAGGTGGAGCCCACTGATGTGCAGCTGTGGAGCCACCCTGGCACCACTGCGTGCCTAAAGCCACAGAACAGGGATTAGCAGAGATTTCAGTCGCTTTCCCTTGTCCTGGAGCAGCGTTAGACCCCAGAACTTGGGGATTTTGGGACACGTGCTGGGCCAGCACTGTTCATGGCTTCAGACATCCCTGGGAGTGAGGGAAGCAACAGCTCTTTTGGGGTTAAAACCTTAAACCCTCAAGCACTGTGCCAGCTCTGGCCTCCAGCACTGCAGACTGGCCCGGGTGGAGAAGCTGCAGCTCTGGAGCGTTGAATCCGCTCTAATTTCCTAAATATTGCCAAAAATAGTCAAACTGCTCGGCGGGATGTGCAGAGGGGGAGCCGCTGCACGGGAGGCTCATCCATCTCCCTCGGGATCGGGGAGGATCTGGATTTGCTGTGCTGGTGGCCAGGGAAGTCCCTGTGACACCCCCAGGCTGGGACAGCACCTCCTAAACCTCCCTTTGCCATGGATTTCTGGGGTCTGGGCTAATCTGCCTGTGTAAATCCAGCCTGGAAGGGGGCAGAGAGGTCCTGGGAAGGGTTTGAGCACTGTTTGAGGAGCCTGGGGTGGCATTTAGGACCTGCAGGTGTTGGATAAGGCAAAATATGAAGGTTCACGAGGAAAAGCCTTAATGAGAAAACCCTGAATTAATGGGACTCCCTTAATGAGCTGAAGGAGGAGTTCCGAGCAGCATGTGGGGAATGCCCAGCCCCCGACACGGCCGATTCCAAAGCTGGAGCGGCGCTGGAGGCCGAGTGCCCTTGGCTGGCCCCGCTGGAGCCTCGACTCGTGCTGCTCCCACATACTTGGATCCTTACGGAGTGCCGGGAGGATCCTGCCTCACGCTCTGCCTCTGGCTCCTCTCGGCAGGAATTACTTTTCCACAGCTCCTTGCTGCTGAAATGTTCCCCTGGCTTCTCCTTGCTCCCGTCCCTGGCCAGAGTGGGGCTGGAATGCCTCCGGAGGTGTCGACCCAGGGATGCACAGGCACAGGCATCGCCCTGGGCTGCTCTGAAGGGTCCAGAACGTGGTGTTGTGTCAGCAAAACAAGGTGCTGGGAGTGCTTTTGTTAATTAATTAATTACAAAAGCAGGATGAGTCACGGGGTGGACCCCAGAAGTGTCGTGGAGCAGAGTGGGGTTCTGCTGGGGGGAGTTCTAGGAAGCAGGGAATGTCAAGTGAAAAATGTCCAAGAGCTTCATCCGAGACTGGAAATTCCTTTGAAACTCTCTTCAAAATCAGATTATTATCATCATCATCATGACTCCTGTTTTTGTTAATTGCTCAATCCCACGGTGGGACCCCAGAGCAGGAGTGCCTGTCCAGGAGACAAGCTGTTGGGTTGAGTTTGTGGCTTTGCTGCCATACTCTGAGCAATGCCCTGGCTCTGTCTCCTTCCCCTCCCTCTGCTCCCCCAGAGCTCTCCCAGCCCAGGGACCAAGGCTGGAAGTGACTTTGGGAGCTTTGGGAGGGTTTAACCCTTTTCAATCCACTTGGCCCCATCACCACTCCCCCATCAAACCCATTCATTAGCCCAACAGCAATTAAGGAATTGTCTGTTAATGAGTCCTGAAGGTTTCCTTGTTTGAGGCTGTGCTGCTTCTCAAGGCAAAACCTTGGGAACAGAATGGGGAATTTGGGGTTCATTCTGCCCTAGAGCTGCCTTAAAGTCAAAATCTTTGGATATTTAATGGATGTTCCAGAGCTCCTTGATCCATCCCAAGCCCCCTGATCCAGGGCTCCCGAATGCCTGCCTTTTGTCCCAGGAGCAGGCCAGGGACACAGGGACGCTCTGGTTTAACTTCAGCAGAGCACAGCAGTGTCCTGCAGGATCCACGCTCTCCATGGGCTGCTGGCCACTGCTGGCCACTGCTGGCCCCGTGTCCTGGCACTCCTGCTGCTGCTGGGCTGTGCCAAGTGGCCACACGTGCCCCACCCGGCCGATGCCTCCTGGCCCTGCCACCGCCCCGGCAGCGAGTGAGATCCCCTTACACATTCCCCTCCCAAAATAGTTCAGGTTGAGCCTCTGGCCGTGCCGGCCAAACCCCTGAGCCCTGTCTTTCGGGGCCTCTCCCTGGGAATGTCATGATCCCAGGGCTTCTGCAGCTCCTCCTGGGAGTGGGCACGGGACAGCAGTGCTGGCTGCAACTGAGCTTTTGTTGGCAAAGCGTTGGGAGATTGTGCTGAGAGGGAGGAAATGGAGAAATTTGAGGCTGGGACGATGTTGAGGTTGTGTTGAGGAAGTTGAGGATGAGAAGGTTGTGTTCAGGAGGTTTTGTGGAGGAGGTTGAGGTTGGGTTGAGGAGGGAGATTGAGGTTGAAGCTGAGGTTCAGTAGAGGAGGTTGGGTTTGAGCTGAGGTTGAATTGAGAATGTTGAGCTGGGTTGAGGTTGTGTTGGTGGTTGGCACGGTCCTTGCCCTGCCTGAGCTGACCCGAGTGCTCCCTGTGCTCCCTCGCAGACGATCCAGACCCTGACGATGGCTTCAACTACAAACAGATGATGGTGCGGGACGAGCGGCGCTTCAAGATGGCAGACAAGGATGGGGACCTGGCGGCCACCAAGGAGGAGTTCACAGCCTTCCTGCACCCCGAGGAGTATGACTACATGAAGGACATCGTTGTGCAGGTGGGGCCAGCACAGAGGCGTTTTGGGAAGCTCGGTGGTCACCGAGGGGCAGGAATTGCTCCGGGCCCGGCTCACACCCGCACCTTCTTGCAGGAAACCATGGAGGACATTGACAAGAATGGCGATGGTTTCATTGACCTGGAGGAGTACATTGGTGAGACGCTGCTGCTGCTGCTGTGTGTCCTGGCCATATCCCCGCAGTGTCCCCGTCCAGGGGGAGCCACTGCCACCACGTCCTTCCCAGCCCTCCCCTCCCAGAACATTCTCCTCTCTCTCAAACTTCCTCCTGCCCCCACTCCATCCAGGATTTTCGGGTGAAATCATGACCCAGGTGGTGCTTTGGGATTTTGGGGATGGATTTAGGGAGCTCAGGGTTTTGGGTCAATCCTTGGGACGGGGCTGTGATTCTGCTCTCCCCACAGGTGACATGTACAGCCAGGATGGCGACGCTGATGAGCCCGAGTGGGTGAAGACGGAGCGGGAACAGTTTGTAGAATTCCGAGACAAGAACCGGGATGGGAAGATGGACAAGGAGGAGACCAAGGATTGGATTCTGCCCTCGGACTACGACCACGCCGAGGCTGAGGCCCGGCACCTCGTCTACGAGTCCGACCAGGACAAGGTGGGCCAGCAGCTCTGGGGGGATTTTGGGAGCGGGATGGGAGGAGTGGGGAATAGCAGGGTGGGGAATAGCGGGATGGGGAATAGCGGGATGGGAATAGTGGGTGGGGAATAGCGGGGTGTGGGAATAGCGGGGTGTGGGAATAGC